ATCTCCGTGTTTCCGGGCCACCTGTGTTGTTGTCAGCTGTTGAGAGTCTTCTTGCCTCTCTGTCCCGCGTCTAGCAGCGTGCTGTAAACAAAGATCGCCAGCGGCAGCCAAAATCGGAACGATAACATGTTCTTGTATACGAGAGTTAAAGTACCGTTTCACGTACCATTTAAACGGCGACTTTCCTTGATGCTGATGACGTTTCTTCTTTCTTCTAGGTCCCTCGGTATCCTGTGGTCCCAGCCCTTCGGCGTCGGCGAGGAGAGTTGGGGGCACATTATCGTAGGGCGCGATGACCATCCCACTTGCGGGACCGCATACGCTTCGCTAATTAACCCCCCTCTACGCTCGACCGATATGACCGCGGAAAGCTGTCGCTTTTAGTCGCCAAAAATTATTCGGGAACGCTATGCACCCCCTTCCCCTTTTTCCGGTCTGCGCGAAATCACACGGACGGAGCTCTTTTGCCCTTGTGACGGGCGCCCTACGGCTGCCACGTCACAATATAATTATATATTATTATGTATCAAATTTGTCCATTCATGTTCATACATTCTACTTATATATATAATTATATATAATTATATATAATTATGTATAATTATATATATAAATTCATATATAATTTTACATAATTACGCATAAATTTATATGTAATTATACATATTGTTATACATAATTGTGTAATTATATATAATTTTATATGATTATATATAATTATACATAATTATGTATGGACAAATTTCATACAAAATTTTGCATAAAAAATTTTTCATCGGGTAGGTTTGCAGTTAGTCAAATTTGTTGATGATTCAGATAGCGTTGACCGTTTTTTCTTAAAGAAAGAATTTACTTTAAATTCTGACGATAATTTGAATGTAGAACGCTGTAAATGTAATGAATTCATTAATAATAAATAAAATATATAATATATATTTTTTATACAAAATAATATAGAGAAAGAATAAATATACTATTAGCAGATATTCTCTTAAAAATCGTTTTTAATGATTAATAATGAATACTTACAACGTTTTTTTATCCATTATCACCTTTTCTATATTTTTTATTATATTGGGATAATACTCCAATTATTTATTTCTAACAAGAAATTCTTCTAAAAAAAATCTTGTCAAACAATTTTGTTGTTTTAAGTAAGGTTAGATTTTAGAAAGGAGGTCTGTTCTTTTAGATGAACTGCCTGAACTGGTGCAATAAGTTAGAGCGCATTCACTTTGGCAGAAAGCAAAAAGATAGAAAGCCAATTAGAACTCTCGCTCGTAGAAAAACAGAAACTATCAACTACGTAGATGATAATCAACAGTTTCTGTTTTTGTATCAATCCTAGGTATTACACGTTTTATACGTTTTTATACGTATTATGGTTGCTTTCCAACAAGAGACATAAGTCTACATGTACAGGGAGCGTCCCGATTGACCACGGTACGATTGGACACAACCAACCGATGAAAAGAATTATCTAGTGAATTACTAGGTCGAACCAATCATTACAATCTGTGTCCAATCGTATCGTGGTCAATCGGGTCCCACCCACATAAACATCATTTTATCCTTGTTCCACATTTAGTGAGTAATGGCTCCTGCATACAGGACGCGGTAATGCTTGCCGCGCGGCGGAAACCCGCGCAACAGCCAATCAATATGTTGTTTTTCCGTAAGAGCTAGAAGGTCATTACGAAAAGCAGTATATTGATTGGCTGTCGCGCGAACTTTCGCCGTGCGGCAAGCATTATCGCGTCCTGTGTGCAGGAGCCATAACAAAGGATGCTTTCCAGTTGCGTACAATGTTACACAAAACTAGTTTATTGGTTGCATATTATCTTACAAGATATTTTAGATAATATGTGACCAATAAACTGGTTTTGTGTACGTGTGTGTCAAAATGTATTAAGCAATTGGAAAGCACCCAAAGATAGGATGATACTTGTGTCGACTTGTGTCTCTTGTTAGAAAGCAACCTATATGTATTTTACCGTATAATATAAAAAATCCTAGAAAATTCTCGAAAAACCCAACCCTGCTATGCGGAGTCTATGGTTGCGTTCAGCAGAGAAAGCTGCTTTGCAACTGTTGTAAAATTTGTGAATTTGATTGGAGTATGCTCTTAATTTTGGTTGAATCTAAGAGCATGTACCAATCAGATTCATGAATTTTACAACAGTTGAAAAGTAGCTTTCTCTGCTGAACGCAAATCTTTCTAACTGGAAAACGGCAAGATTTATTCTTGAAAATCTTCCTTAAAGAAAATGTTATTATTATTGTGTGCGAGATTTTTCTATGAAAAACTATAGTATGTGTAATATGAATTATAGTTTTTTATCGAAATATTGTATGCGATGTTTTTCAAGAATACGGCTCCAGACTTATATCGGTAACTGCTGAAGATGGACGTGACATTGTTGATATTTATCGCCTCGGCAATCCTCGCACTAATTATTATTTGTACTGTCTTTCTGCAACATAAATCTGGTATATAGCTAATTTACAATACTCTGTTTTATAAGTTAAGCAATGATATTATGTGTATATTACTTTACGTATCATGTTTCATACATGTTTCATTTGAGATAAAATACATAGATATTTCCAAAACAGCTGTTTTGTCATTTGAGTAATATTTAGTTAGTCAACTTAGTCAAAATTTAAGTAGTTCGTTTATTTAAGATGAGGTAATATATTTTCCACATCAAGTTTAATACAATTCGTTACAAAGAGTCATTACACGTTTTCAAGTTAACCTTAATATGGCACACGGGTTATTTTTGATATCAACTAATTTTAAATTTTTCGTAAGCGGAAGAATTTTTTTGTAGTAAAGAAGTTATTGTTGAAAGCAATATTATGTTTAAACACAGTTAAGCTATTTTAATTATGTATTATAAGAAAAAGCAGTTTGATGCTCATGTGCTATATTCAGGTATCAATACATAAAATAAAGATGATTTTTTGTTATATTCTAGTTCTTTACATTAAATATAATATATAAGAAAAGTGTTACATAAGCTTATTTATTTCTGGCTGTATTACCCAAATAGAAATGCGTGATGATCATGTTTCATCACAATGTGACTTCATACTATGACTTGATACTTTTTTAAAGATTATTACGTGATTTCATGATATGAGCACTAAATGCACACAAATGATGTACAAATTATGTTTACAAGTTCTTGACGTGATGTTGATTATTATTATTAAATGAGGTATTTTTCTGACATCATAATATGAATGATATGTGAGCCACATATGAGCCCACATCGGTGTGTATTCTTGTCCTCATTTTGAAAGTATATGATTATAACATGAGCTCAGAATAAACACATTTTTCTATCTGGGTATATATGGCTGATTAAAGTTTCTGTACTGTCAAACTCTAATTACAAATAAACAAAAAATTAAGTTATCATTAATTTTTGTAATAATTTCAAGAGTAAGAAAATAAGAACTCAATAACAATGATATCAATTAAATAATAGGAAAAAGGGCTAATTCGAATTCAAGCACAGGATTAATAGTGCCATGTATTAATAGTGCTATGTACCATATGGGTAAAACTTTCTTTGTGTTAGGAAATAGAGCAATATTTATTGAACATGAATACTCAATATAAATAATCAAATGTTTCGGCTCAATCATAAACCCTCTTCAGTGATATAAAAAAAACTCAAAGTTTACAAAACGAATGTATTACAAGTAAAAGAATTAATTAAAGACCTTAATAAAATGACATGAATGTTATTCGCAGTATTATAGCTGACAAGACCATTATCCGACTAATATTAAGAAGTTCAAATTAATACTAGGAAGTAGCCATAACTATAAAAAAAACCATAAAATAAAATAAAAATAGGTAAGATTAAAATATAATAAATAATTAAAACGGTCAATATAAATTACCTATGTTGAGCTCAGCTGTGAAACGATCCCGTCAACGATAACATCGCCACGTCTAAGTAAAAGAGATAACAGATTTATATACACGAACATTAACATTGCGGCGACGACTCTTGGAAGAGAAGGAAACAAACAAGGTTTTATTTTCATAATAAGCCGCAGTAGCTGTTGCCCAAATATTCTGTGTCCTTTTGAGAGTTAAGTCCAAGGTTTTATTTACATTAAATTTCAAAAACATGGACTTAATTTTCAAAAGGACACAGAATATTTGGGCAACAGCTACTGCGGCTTATTATGAAAATAAAACCTTGTTTGTTTCCTTCTCTTCCAAGAGTCGTCGCCGCAAT